GCTCCCTGTGAGTGGCTCCACTTTCTGTAGACGCACTGTAAATGTAATAGCCCAATTTTCATTACAAAATGTTAAATCCCGAGGGCATGCCCTATACCCCCCTCCCTGGGGAAAATCATTGACTGGTGCACCTCTCTCTCTTCCCAGGCACATAATAGTGACACACAGAAGTCTGACTCAGCCAAAAGAGCGTACCTGCCGCCCAGTATTGCCGCCACACCATGATTCGCCATCAAATGCACTCGCCATGTTCCTAGCCAGTGCGCTTACGAGAGGCATTCACCCCCCTAAACGTCCGCCATTTTGAATCTTTTCAGGGAGTTGAAAACCTATGGTGAAAACCCAGGAATATGGCGACAGCATTGCTACGGTTACGCCAAAATCATTCTATATTCTGTGTCCCAGGTGCAACGTAACTAGTGACTAAAATAAATCATTGGACTGCAATATAACATACCCTCCCGCCCACATTCAAAACCTTTAAAATTTACATTGCTCCAACCTCTTTTTCCATTTTTTCCTTCATCTCTTCCACATCTTGCTCGATCTTCACACAGTTATGACATTTGACTTTCCTGTACTCGCATACTGTGCTCTCGTGATGAATAATCTCTCGCTTATTAACCACTATTCCGCATTCCTCGTTAGAGCATTTCATCGGTGCAAAACCGCAATTCTCGACGTGAGAATCCAGTTCTTCCAGACGAATGAACTCATGACATCCTCGGTTGGAATAATCGCACTTTATCTTAAGCTCAGATAAATAATTGCTCGCCAGACGCGGGGCTCGACGAAGTGTTTCGACAGTCAAGTCCTCGTTACATTCTGGACACGTATGCGTGTTCACATTTAAATGTTCAGTGATACAGCCACGACAAAATATGTGTTCATTATTTCTACACATCATTGGTTCCTTCAGAACATTGTAGCAGATAGAGCAATGAAAGTGGGCATCGACAGCTTTCTCAAAACGACTATCTTCGTAGCCATATTTCTCTTCCGTTGGGCAACAAGCCATTCTCGAGAAGAAACAAATCTAAGTCGTCTTTTTGCTTACATATCTTTTTATTCTAGTGTCCCCAATCCAATGATCTAATACCGACTTTTAGTACTCCTGAAATCACTCACTGTACGTCGTCACATAATTTGGAAGCGAGACAAACATATAAGTTATCAAACAGCCTTCGTGCTAAGTTTCGTTTTGTGATTCAGGTATTTTACATATTAGTATGCGGTTGCACAACAGCCGAAGCAATATGTCCAATGAGGCGTGACCAAGGTCGCGACCTCTATAAACAAATGTTTGCCAAAACACAAAAGCCATGAGAGTGCAGCCAAGTACGATTTGTCGGTTATTGTAATTTCTATAGATCTTATTTATCGGAGTTTCTGATAGTTTTTTGGCGTGGAAGTAATAGGTGATTGTACAACCACTCCCATGGGATTCAAAGGACAAAGAGATTTCTGCCATGTTGGCTGAAATTT